AGAAAAGATCTATTTTTGGGTGTCTTCAAATAATCAAGTGGTGATGTACACTAATGAGACGGTTGATAGTGCTTCGTTCTAACAATTTCTGATATATTTGGTGCATTATCGGATAATGCACATCGTAAGTCATGTTCCAAGTTCGTTTCTTTGGTGTGTGTGACCACTGATCAAACATGAAAAGATGTGATTCAATATCTTGGAAGAGATGTGAGTGGCTTCTCATTTGTTTCAACCATCCATGTCCTTCCTGGATGACAGCCTCCCAAGACAACTGTGTATCGATAAGTCCCGCACACGAATTGTCTGTTCTGTCCCTTGTACCTTGAAAACATTCGGTCGCTCTTTTATCTGGTCGGCTGACCTATGCACCCACCTTAGTGTTCACAAAACTCTGCAATTCGATCTGGCTGCTTGACTCAAGAACAACAATCGATGAGCGAGCCGATAAAGGCGCCGTCTAGTTGCGCTGCTTTACAGACTTGTACCCGCAGATTGCCAAATTCACTAACCACTCACTAATGACTAGTCACTGACGGCAACCAGTGGTGATTAGGTAGTTAGTTAGTTGTTTTGATACAGATAATTTTGTTTGCCGACTGATTTATGACCCCCTTGGGGGTAATTACCTCCAGCTGGAGAACCACTGCACTGGGTGAACCGAGAACCAAGGTTGCCTCAGCAGTTACGAGGCATCTGATGGACACTGGCTACCAGGTAAATCCGGATGAGCCACTAACAGTCCTCATGCGTAGTCAAAGGCCTCACATTCTCAACCTCCTAGAGGCCATTGCTATCGATCGAAAGTGCCCACCACTGTGTTCAAAAGTAGCTGACAGTGACGCTAAACCTACTGTGGTAGCGAGTAATGCACCAATCGGAAGAGAGCTGACCAGTAATAGAGTTCATGTTGCCTTATGTCGGTCCCCTAACAATTTTCATGCATGTGGCCCACGAGAGTGCACGGAACGACAACGTCATCACACTACCTTCGCCTTCTGATATTCTTGTTTGGAAGTATAGAGGGAATTTGATGTTTAAAATTTCGTAAGCGAAGACTCTCTGCGCCGAGTGTGAAAGGACTCCATCGCTTAGTGAGTCTAACACACAAACTTGCGTCGAACGTGTTCGATCGAAATTGCTGGACAGGTGCATTTCTGATCATTGTTACCCACGTGGGTTTTTGAGGTGATTGCAAAAGAGCAGAATTCGTCCAACAGCGACTAATCTTGAGAGACCGCCTCTAAGCCACAAAGAAACCTGCGTAGATATGGTCGATCAGCTTGAGGAAACAGCTTAACATTACCTCTCATTAGGTGATACTTTGCCTATGGTGTGCCGAATAAGATTCACTAACCTCTGCTAGGATGTACTGAGAGAAGCATGTTCCGGATCAATCAAATTCCGACGTAATGTTTCCAGTGAGCCACAAATGGGCGAGTTCCGCGCTGACTGTTCAACCATTGTTCACAATATGTTATCGCTATCATTAGCCGATTGCAAAAAGAAGCTCGACTGTGACGCGTATGGTGGAGTCAACACCTCCTGTCTGGCTCTGCCAACGGTTATGAGGTGCACAAAAGGCAACGGAATCTATGTAACAGCGGGAAAGCACAAAAGCATCGGCAGTCCGAAGTGAAACTTGCAACCGCAGCAAAAACAACCCCCAAACGAATTTTCGCTTAGGTGAAGCAGTGTCTGAGGTATGTAATCGAGGTAACAGTGTTAGGCGGCTTTGACGGGCAGCCTCTGATTTGCGACGCTGAACGTACGTCCGCGCTGGCGACGCACTACGCTTCTATATTTGCAAGTGGGCATGCGTCTATACCAAGCTCCACGTGTGCAGGCCCTACAAAACTTGGGAACCTGGATTGCAATGTGGAAAATGTCCAAAAGCTACTTGCCAGGCTTGACAGCATGAAACTTGCCGGTCTTGATGGAATCCACGCGCCGATTCTCAAGTCGTTATCGGCCACTGTACATGCCAAGCGTTGCCCGTGATGACCCTGTGGATAATCAAATTAACATCCGTATAGTCCCGCGTTTGATGCCTGCTATCCCTACTTGGCAAAATGAAACGGAATCATGTAGCGAAAAGCAGTATTTTTGGGCGCAGAGCACCCAATTTCCATCTACTAGATATTCCATTGAAGGAATCCTCTCGATGTGACGGAATACCAAAGCCGACTTTTGAGTGATATTCACGGATATACTCACACTAGTTCTTGGAAAAACACGCTTGAAAAACATTCACCAATGTACGTCGACCGCTGCATAGCGCACTGACTGTACATCAACTTCATTCAGCAGACAAGTACGAATGCGTCTGTACCCACACGCGAGCTTAGTCTTTCTGTCGTCGCAAATCCGGCGCGATTTGCGCGACCAAGGTTCAATCGTTCTGTAGTTTACTGGCAAGTCTGTGTGGTAGCTATACTAATATCCGTCCCATTTGTCTGCCATCTTTCCTACTCACTTGTGGTAAGCTTAATTCTTTTCAAGATATTGTGGAGATGGGTATTTTAACTGAATATTCACCCTCCTAGTAGCATAAAGCTCGTCCTTGTATTTAATAACACTGGCCACATTGTAAAGTTATTCACTCTTGTCGACTTATCACTTTACACCATGTGGACTGCCTAAGTGACAGAGGCTTTGAAAAGGGACTGTAGCCCTACCAATACACGTAGTAAGCTGAATAGGACATTAAAATCACAGGTGATATATAAAAATAGATGAATTAACCAATCGACCGCATCAAGCAGTTATTTGGTGACGGTCAAGATTGGTGTCATGTTGGTACCGTGTTACAACCGTACGCTATAGCTATTAGAGAACACATGAAAAACAATGAACAATGATTTATCACGGATTAGAAAGAAAGTGCTTGACAAGTCCCGAAGGATGGTTGGGGTGAATAATATAAAATCAAAAGGTATGTGAGTCATCTACCAAGCGTCCACCGGGCCAAATGCGTTGATAAATAACATTAGGGGAAAATAAGACTAGAGTGTGAGCATAGAGAAGAACATGGGGTGCAGTAATCATTGACATAAAGCGTGAGAAATATAAAATATGGTCGCTTACTCATGCGTCGCCTCCTTGGGTTCATGTGACACATAAATCCAGTAGAAGGGCATGGTTAATGTGAACTACAAACGCGCAACTTATGTAAAGAAGTGCTGGGAGCTAAGACCAACATCAAATCGTTTTTCGAAAATGTCCAAAGCAGGAGCGAATATAGCTGAGTATGGGAAAGTTCCAGGGTTAGCAAACCCGAAGTGAAAAGTAATTCCGTCGACACTCTAGACAGCTCTATCGTTCAGTCAGTTTCAAACAGTTACCTCTGAGCTTGATCTTGTGGCTACGTTTCGGCAAATTACGACATACACGGTTGTGGTCATTCAATATTTAGTACATGAATAAGATCACCGCGAAGCCTTCGGTAGCGTCCGTTAGAAAATCCTAGTAACTTCAACCTTCGCTGGTAAGAGTGACCGTGTAGGCCCTTGATGTTCTTTGTTGACATGCGTGGTGGCGCCTACAGCACCTCTAGCTCGCGATTCAACCAAGGTTGCTAACCTTGGATGTCGTATTCAACGTGAACGCGTACATAAGAATTGTGGATTATTGGAAGGATTGATGAGTCAAATCTCCCGAATGCCCTTCGCAACAGGCCGACGTGCCGGTTGCCTCGGCTGTCAGGCAACTGCCTTGGACTGCTTTGAACAGTTGAAGTCATTCTGTACGAGCACATCAAGGTCCCGTCCCTGAGATATGGTATGAAACCTGTGTCCAACGCCAACACGTGTAGTTATGTCGCAGTTGAGCAACGCGACATTTATCTACAATGAATCGTAGGGCATTCTGTACTAACTAGTTCAAAATCGCGATAAGATCGCACTGGAGCCCTTCGTCCGGTCCTCTTATCGCTCGCCATATCTTAATATCATCTGCTAAGAATATAAAATCGGAACCAATTATCTCACTACATCATTTACGAAAAGTGAGGGTAGACGAGGCCCTAGCACCGAGGCTTGTGGAACACACACACCACATTGAAAGGAAAAAGAAAGTCATCAGCAGTACGCCGGCACACTGTACCGATGCTTCGCTGCCACGCAACCACCACGGGTCGCGCGTGGGCTGAGTATACTGTGAGAACGTCCGTCCCTACGCGGATTCGAACTGGTAAGTTAGGGATTGCAAGTCAGGGGTGCAATCCCATCGGCACTCTACATTAATTGCATCGGACAGCGATTCCGGGACTCTCACCTCCAACCGATGTTCGTGTGGAAAATTGTTTATACAGAGCAGGATTGGTCACAAATATCGTAGTTCCGAAGCTCGTGAAGAAGAATTAGATGGCTTAAGTGATCAAAGACCTTTGAAGATTCCAGCTAGATGACATCGACACCTGCTCCACCACCAACTACTGTTGGAACGTACAGCATAAATCGCTATCAGTTGCATAATGGTTGAAACCGGCACTCGTGTCCTAACACTGACCAAGGTAGAAGTTCAAGCTGTAAATCTCGAGGCTGGCAAAGGACATCGAAGAGATGAGCGGTAGCCCAAAATATTAATCTGCTATAAAACCGCAACAAAAAGGCGTGGAACTTCGAATCATCAATAACTCAATCGTATACATCAGTAAGGATGCGTCTCAAGACATTCCTCCGCGAATTCTCTCAAACATTTATTGACCAAAACCCTTGCGATGAGCAGGACATTTTCATCTGCTCCACTTGTCGTCGAATGTCCTGGTGTTCAAACGCGATTTGGCAGACAAGAACATCGAGTGTAGATTACGCAGCACGAAACCAAGGCAATGAACAGTTGCGGGTCCTATGAGCTTCTTGTGACTGGCGGGAAAGAAGCGATAGCTTACATGCGCCTTCAATCTTAGCAAACAACATAAACACTGACTATCCCCAAATTGGTGCAAACCAGTAAAATGTGCCGCGAACTCCGATGCGGAATGCGAAACCAGATGTAAGTTGAAAAGAAATCAAAAAGAATCAATGATACGTATCGGTTCAGCAGCACGAGATGATCTATTGTACAAATGTAATAACATCATGTAATTCGGTCTCTCGCAGGTCACTGACTAGTTTCATAATGAAAGCTTTGAGGTTCTCATTCGGATCTGATCCAAAGTGTTTCCGCATGAATATTCGGCAATTGTGACACAACCGAGTGTAGCAATTTAATTGACTCAGCTTTGTCAAGACTTTTTGATATTCTCCGGTGCACAGCTCCACGAAAACGTGTCGCAGGAAAGAGATATTACCATCTGATTTATCACCGAAATTGAAGTTCTGAAAGGGAGAAGAGCACAAGATATTGCTCACTTCGGGTGATTTGAGCGGCTGATGAATGCATAGGGTAATATCTGCATAAGGGTACTCTACGAAACCAGCAGCGCTGGTAATCGGAAACAAATGGACGAATTAGTCTGGATGCTCTCTGGAGCGTTGCGATATGAGAGTATGCAGAGAGCAATCATTATCGAATAGAACAATGGAGATTGCTGAGGTCAGCGTATACTTTTCATTAGAAAAGCTAACCTGAAAGCACATTTCTGTGAAATTGGTCCTACACATCAGCATTCACAAGAGAGTAGCGCCTTATACTTCAGATTGCGGCAGCAAACAAAACGCTGTTGCAGTCCAAATATACACGTAGTGGTCACAAGCTTCCTAAAACTCCCATATAAACGCGCACGTGACATCACGCAGTTTGCTGGACTTTGTTCTAACTACCGCTTTGAGTAAGGTACTGGTACGCTGCCTCAACGCAAACGTTTGCTGTCCGGTAACTCACGTGACTGTCTGCAGATAAGATTTCAAGTAATGACAGGAAGACTATGATATCCAAGTCCACGAATAGGTTTGGCTGCCAAATTCGACAACATGATTACAGACATTTCGTTACCACACAACAAAGCGAGTGATCAAACCTTGGGATTGGTCACATTGAAGTGAATGGTTTAGCCAACGAAGCTGTTACATTTGTTTCAGGGATCCCAGCTGTTAGCACTACCAGATAATGAGTATGCACTTCCCGTCCGGATTTTTATCCCTATATCGGTGTTTCTATTAACGTTCCTCAAACGACTAGTACAGTAGCAATTAGTGTCAACTATTATTGTCGGTCTATGGCCGACTGATGAAAGGGGCCTGCTCTATGATCCGTTAAAGGTGGCCGGTTGGAGTATGCGTAGATGCGGAGGATCTCATAGTGTCCTCAGCCGGCGCACGACAAATGGTGGCTGCGTATCAGTGAAGCGTCGGTGCGACGCACTGGCGTAGTGCTGACATCTGTCTTTATTAACAAATTAATCTCCTATGGTGGCACGAGGCATAGCAACCCAGGCGCTCGGATCAGAGCTGGCTAAAAGGTAAACTCAAAATCTGAGAGTACATCATGCTTGTCCAGCGTAATGTCCATTAGCATTTGGTCGAGATGTTTGCAGTTAAACAGCTAATATGAACAATTCGAGAGACCAGCATATCAAGTGTATTAAATAGCGTGGAAACATGCGTGACCCGAAAGGAAATCTGTGCCGCTAAAGCATTTGCTATGGTTGTAAATTTAGGACTGGCATGTTCTCCCTGCAGCAGTCATTACTGTCCGAAGTGGGCCAATGTCTCCAACCGAAGCAAGGTAATACAGTCAAACTTGTCAAAAGCGATCACTCAAGGGACCGACAAAAAGTTGTCGCGTTGCACAGGTGGTCGCCATGGACCGGGACATTACACATAGGAGAAAACGAATGCAGACCCATGATAAGTCAAAGTAATCAGCTGAGGTAGTCAGAGAACTACCACCACTGATGTCAATGAAAGTGGCGCTCGAATGTATGTGAAGCAATCCAACAGCTGATCTCATCAGAAGGGGGGTTACTCAAGCGAATATGTTTGGTTCAGCCAAGTAAACTTCGATCGAAAATTATGCATGAAAATCAGAAGAAGCATACCTTTAAAACAGTTAGAGGCAAATCGTAGACGGAAGCCAGTAAACCGAGGGCCCTTCCGGCATTCGCCTTCGCGTTTACCGAGAGATCGACTTTCTTCATGACATCCCAGAAAGCGCATTTCACCATCATCTAGTGTATAAAGTAATAAGACGAAAGCTGTGTAACATGTGATGAACGATCAGTGCTTAAAACGGGTTTACAGTCGCTGTTCATATGCTCAATGACATACATGAGCGCAACCGCACAACTAAGTGTAAACCACTTACTCATCCTGGCAGATACCGCATCACGCAAAAAATCCAGGGGACTTGCCTAGATCCCGGTAACGCTGTAAAACCCCATAGTGATTGTATTTCGTTGTTAGCTTAGTTGAATAAAACGAGCCAGATATACTGAGATAAGCAATACACCTGTTGATTTGCAAATTCATCAAGCAGAGGTGTGCAGAGCTGCACTGATTGAAGTACGCTTTCCGCACACTTATCGACTAACTATATTAGTGTATCATTATTATCTGGAGTGAATGTAACTGACTAAAGGCCAACAAGGGCGAGAAGGAGCATTGTGTGGCATTACTATTCATGTTAACTATCGATTCCACTGTCGCGGTCAGCGCATGATAACGACAACCTTGCTGCCTTTTCACGTTTCACCTTCAGTCGCATTATTGTCACATTGCAGCCACTTGTTGGTGCCGTCTACAGAACGCGTCCAAACGCATAACGCATGGATCATGAAACGCATTGTATAAACCGAGCAATGTTGAGGTTTGTTGAAGCCATACTTAATCACACAACTATCACACGTCCAAAATTGAGCAGGACGGACTCTAGTCCTTTTGGAACTCGTCAGTAGCGTGTGTACACCGAATGGTGCTGGATCAGAGCCTCTCTTTTACGATCCGACGACTTAGGTCATCCAGTCATGTGCGGTAGGGTTCGAGCGCCATGCGTACGCGTATTACGGACGAGTCCAAATGTGGCGAAACGTCCGTCCGGCGTTTTCCTGTCCACGTGGTGACTACCTCAGTGAGCCTATGGCCGCAATGAACCCTGTGAAACTCAACAAACCCATACTACTATTTAATAAATCTTTTTTGGATGTTAGGAGATATGAAGCTGAAGATAAAATTGTGCGGAAAGATCACTGCTTACCAGAAATTTCCGATGTGAACTGAGAAAACTGCCTAGCACCCTAGCGTAAAAGCGATTGAAAGGTTCTTCGGCCATTAAACAATGGAGGACAATCTGAATCATTTCGCGCTCTTGGGACCTTTCTCTGCAAGTAGCAGCTAAAGCGTTAGCTGTAGCTTCTGGCCCACCAGGTGTCGACAGAAGAATATTCAGAAGCGTGCGTCTGGCAACGGTCTTGAGACCCAAAGTGGCTGCTGCCGTTTCCACCTGTGAATGAAATAACGTTATTTCGTGGTGAAGTGTGTGAGTAGGCACAAAACAGTACTCGCTAAGAGCACGCGAATTTTACTTACTTCAGGTGACAGTCTTAACTGATCTGCCTCAGAATCATGCCGCAATGACGAATCAGACTGCTCGAGTCCACGGAGCGGCGGACAATCAGTTTCATTCTGTCGCGCTGAACCCACAAGCCACCAACGACCTTTTGATTCACCACGTCTAAAATCATCCAAACTCACTGACAAACACATGCCTTCGGTAAACGTTCCACCTGAAAGAGAACGTACTGCTATCATAAAGCGGACAACAGAGTTACGAATTACCAGGAAAGGCAAAACTCGCCAGCGTACTGACTAGCGAAAATGCACACAAACACTGTGGTATTCGTCCTACGTGGCGCGTGATCAACACATAGAACTGCAATGCAAAACAATTGGGATCACTTTCATATTACCACCAACCCAGTCGAAGGTAGAATGCATCGCGCTTACGGCAAACAAGTAGGTTTAGTAAATTACTCGCACAGTGGGTTGAGTAGACACACACAGACATGTGATTTATTCCATAAAGATTTGGTTCAAATGGTTAAAAAAGCCGCTTCAATGAACAATGAATAAGTGATGAGCATAAGAGTAGGCATTGTTGTCGGTAGTTCCCCGAGCCAGGTATGAGCTAGGGGTGGTGAAACGTCAGATAGGTTTTATGAAAGTTACCAGAACAAAGTGTCCCGCTAACGGACGAGTTACAGAACGAAATTCTGTTACTAAGGAAACAGAAATACCGTGTGCGTCACTAGTGATAGAAATAACACGACCACCTAACCATACACTGGTGACCCAGTAAATCGACATCCTTATCAACGTCGTGATTTGCCCAGTGCACACGGACGCCGCAATCCATAGGCAAAGTCAACAGGGATTGGAAGTTTCGTATCGAGTTTTAGCTGTTGCGTGAATCAATTAAACTACTCGACACTACGTGTTACCACTTCACGCCTCATTGTTACAAATTCGCTGATGTCACCCGAGAAAAGTAACGCTGCACAAGAAATGATGGTTAGATATTCGGAGGTGGCTGCACACTGTGCATTAGTTCGCAGTCGAGCATGAACACCTGACAACAACAGCTATCCGTATGAAAGGCAGCCGTGGGGTGCTACACAAACAGGACAAGACTAAACCACCCGTAGTGTTCAACCCTCCAACTGTACCCCAGAATACATTACCTATTCGAAGCGTTATCATTCAGCTTGAAGAAAGGACTGACGTCGTTCCCTTCCAAACAGGCAAAGCCCCTCCCACCCATCACAGTGCAGCAGAAAAACGCTGCGACTGCCCACTGCACATTTTGCGTCACCCAAAAGACAATACGTAATACTAAGAGTAATTATGATTTCTAAGTTATATGGGCTTATACTTCATTGTTACAAGCGTTTACGTAATCCGTACAATTTAGTTAGCTTTGTGTTTAAGTATGCCAGCGATGAACATATTTTTCGTAGTAAGGTTAATTAACCCGTACGCTACCTCCGTTCTTATGGAACTCAATTTCTTGGATTTCCTCTGATCACATTTCCAGGTAAGTGGTATAGCGCACGAGAATGCCATTTGCACCAATTGTAATGCTTACCATATACACGCGCTGCGCCACAAAGCGACTTTAAGGAAGTGTGAGTTTGCTACTCCCTCCGAAAGCCCATTGCTTGCCGGCATTATTTAGTTTTACGAAAGTTGCATACACAACGCCTCAATCAAAAAGCTGGTCACGGGAACAACGAGCATATGTTACCACTTTGTGTAAGTAGGACATGACATCGTCCAAGACGTTCAGTTGCAGGGATAGATACCGATGTCCAGTTATCCGATAACCAATGGTCTGGCGATGCTAATGATGGTAACTATGAGTCTGCTGAAGAAATGGAAAGTAAGATTCTCTTTACTCCTTCATGTCCATGAAGTTGATCGGATGCTCTTGTTGGATCTAACGGAGGAAACTACACATGGTAAGGCTTCTCTGGGGGATATTATTGCGCCCTACAAAAGCGGTTTCAGAAGTTGGGTGCATATACATTCTATCCATTTGCATCCGCAGTGAATTCACTTTTCGTGCACCTTGGCACTTACATTGCGGACATGCCGAACATTGATGCGGACATCAAGAGAGAAGTTCACGGATGCTGTGGAGTCCGGATGCTATGGTCATGTTGGCATAGCAGCGGGATTAGTGCATGTGTACATGCACCACGCACCATCAGCGTCGCAGGGAATACGTATTCAATTGCACATAGATGGGTTCTCCCTCCTCAAATCATTAAACCATCAAGCTTGGTCTGTCCCGTGTCGCTCAATTTCGCTGGTTTTGTCCCCATCTTTCGTAATTGCTATCTACAGTAGACGATGCAAACCAGGCAACGTTCAAGAGTTCCTTGGGCTGTATGTAGTTGGAAGGTGACGATTGCACGAACGAAATGTCATTTGCGTGACGAGGAATCTTTGAGATCGCGGGTTGTACACCAGCATTCCACCTTAGACTTAAAAATAATCTGTCAGCTGTACGTCGTAACGGCGCTTCGCTTCCGTGCGACCACCACCAGTCGCACACGGGCTGAGTATACCGCGAGGACGCCCACCCCTACGAGGATTCGAACCTGCAACGCAAGATTACGAGACAAGCTCGTTACCTCTAGACTACGGGCCGACTCTCATTTCGAGTCGCTTGACATCAATATGATAGCCCCATTTCCAATGGATTACATGCACGCTGTTTGTTTGGGCGTCTGGCGACCTATGATTAATCTGTGTTTGAAACGAGGTTTTGGCCATACCGTTTGAACAAGAATACCGTGTCCGCAATCTGCTGGACAACAAGCAATCCTGGTCTTGTGATTTCACAAGGCATTGCCGAAGCGTTTCCACGATTCGATATTGGAAGGCAACCGAATTTCGTCAGTTCTTATTGAACGCCGGTCTCGCTGTATTGCGGAGTGTTTCAATCCAATAATACTGCCGCAACTTTCTCGATTTGCATTTGGGGATTGACCCATTATATCATCCACATTGCTCCGAAAGTTACCGCAGATTCCGTCGAAGATTGTTGTAGATATTTGTTAGGAAATTTTTCCATCTGTATGGAGTCGCGGAAATGACCTATAGCCTGCATTCCGTCACCCATCTGTTAGAGGATGTACTTAATCATGGCACATTGGATGATTTCTCTGCATTTCCTTTCGAGTCATATATTCACGTTATAAAGAGGCAGGTGAAGAACGCCATGAACTCTGCAGCACAGATTTGCAGACGCGTCATCGTGCAGCGTCAAAAATCTGTATCCGCCGCCGGCTGTATTAAAAATGATGAGAACTTTTGTTTATTGAAATGTGGAGACACATTCGGGTTCAGAATAAACGGAACCAGCATCCTAACTGCCAGCCTTAACAACCCTAGTGCTAGTCACCGGCAAATCACACCGTGTGACTTCTGTGTGCGCTGGGACTTACACCACGGCCCGATGTGATTGTCATGTCTTTCTGGAGTTGAGTGATATGTATACCGCACAGCACACACTCGACAAAGGTGCAGGTGTTCGCAGCGCGCGGAATAAGCAAAAGCGCTGTACCTTGCAAGGTGTCCGATATAGTTTACAAATGCATTTGAATGAAAGATGGGACGTCAATAGTCAATATCCTCACCTTTTACAAACAACCCGTTGATAAGCAAGCACATGTGACCATAGAATGGTATATTGCTGCTTCCGTATTTTATCCGCCAAACAAGGTCTGTTTGGTGAGTAACGAAACGTACCCGAATTCCCTTTACTGAAGGAAAGTCGCACCTATCATTTCTAACGGCGGAGAGATGACCCTGCCATGCCGCTTCGGACATAGTTCAACGCCTCCATTTGGCTTCCCATGCCGTGTTATGAATAGGTGCTTTTTCTTCTACATGACTCACATTTACTGCAAAGGACCTGACTTTGTTATCGCTACACGGTTTACATCCTTCCATTGGTAATTGCTGTTTTCACTTAGGTGATGTGTCAACGCCCTGCAATTGTGCGTTTGGAAGAGGATGGTGTGATTAAAAGAACAGTTATAAGCAGCAAGTAGGTGGTGGGAGATGGCCGGTGTGCCGTCATTCCCCCCTCCATCGCAATGAGGCTGGACCTTACTGTGGTGCGATGGTTTGCGTGCCTCAGAGATCCATTGAGCTATGCTGGGTGGTGCTTTTTTTTTTGCACCTTTAGAGCCACTCATACCAGATTGGTCAATGGTTAGAGGCCAGATAAACTCAGCCTCCTGGTCCTCCAGGTTGGGGGTTGGAATGGGGGTGGCTCCTCATTTCATAAAACGGGCTCTGTAGTCCAGTGCCAAAACCCGCTGCCTTGCGGTAAGGTTTTTTGAACCAAAGGCTTTGGTTGAGAACCCTAATCGTTCTCCTGTCTAGGCCTGGGCAACCTGACAGTATTCTGCCCACGCAATACAATGAACCTTTCCTACAACAATTTCTTGATGCTCTGGCCGGCGCAGAGGATAATAAACGGCGCCCTATCTGCTGCATCGAGCAGGGTGGATAGGGGTTTGGATGCTACTGCTCAAACCGTCCCGTCTTCTTATACCCCTTCTTGCGCTTCTGCATCCTTATTGTCCCGCTCCAACTTTACTTATATCCCAACATTTTCAATCCCCCAATTCTTGGCCCTCCCCCAGCTTACTTCAATAGTCGCTTGTCTTCTAATTTTAAATCACACACAATCGCAGGGCCTCGCTCCATTCCAGTCGACAAGTCCATGTTCAACCAAGCGGACAACGTCAGTTCATCCGTTTCCCTTTGGAGTCCTCGTGTCTCGCTAAGATTGGCATGCCTCAACGTGCGCACTTTGCTGCAGATTGGCCAACAGGCAGCACTCGCCCGCACACTAGAGACCCTATCGATCGATATTTGCTGTTTATCAGAAACCCGCCTGCAAGATTCGAGCTCCGTGCTTACCCTGAGATCCCCCAAATGCGACACTGGCGGCACATTCTCATTGCGCCTATCTGGCGATGATGCAGCTTCAAATGCCGGTCAAGCTGGCGTCGGCATTGTTTTGAGTCCCCGGGCTGAAGCTGCCCTGCTTGATTGGATCCCAGTAAACAGTAGATTAGCTGGTTCGTTCCGTGCTTGGAAGTCGCGCGGGGACAAACGGTGCCTGTTTGTCGTTGCGGCCTACACCCCTACAAACTGTAGCACTGATTCGGTAAAAGATGATTTCTATCAGCAACTTCACGAGCTC